AGGGCGCCCGCCCGCCGGCCCTCTCCCCCCACTTTGGGTCCACACCCGTTCTCCTCCCTCCCTCGCTCTCTCCCTCTTTCCTCCTCAGGTGCCCCCGCTCCTCGGGCCCCACTGCGCCCCCGAGCCCCGCCCGCCGCTCCGGAGCTCTCCCCGGCAAGGCACAGTCGCTCGCCTCGGCCCACTGGGATCCCGCGCCGAGCAGCTGGCTCCAAACCTAGGGGCCCTCCTCTCCTCCTCCGCTGGCCCTCTACACCCACCCTGCGGCTCCCCTCCCCCCAGCCCCTCTTTCCCTACAGGCTAGCACCCTGAGCCAGGCTCCGAGGGCTGGGTAGCACCAAAATAAGCCTCTCGCCCTTCACCAACACATTTGAAAGCATTTCTAAGGAAAATAACAGGATGCCCCTCCAGGGAGCCCACAGCCCAACTCCTTCCAAATGGGCTGCAGGCCTCCCGCACACTCTGGGAGTTAGGAAAGACCCGGTGCTTCCGAAGCTCGCGCCCTCCCTCTCCCCCTACTCGCGGAAGGCTGCGTTGGATGGTGCTACAGTCTTCAGAAGTTCCTGCTAGCTACATCTCCTCATCATCTGAGGACCGGGAGGCCCCAAAGAGGAAGCAAGTCGTCACCACACAAATTCCCGTAAGATCCAAGAAAGGAACTTCTCCAGAGTTTTCACCTCTTCCTTGGGTGTTACTAAAATTTCCTCCTGGCTTCTACCTCACGTAGCCTCCCATAGTCAATTGCTCTTCCTCACACTCTGGGCCGGGCAGTCAAAAACCACCGTCCCTCACTCTCCTAGTGAGACAAACACAGAGGAAGCTTCGTCCAAAGAAAACAGGAATCTCTCTGAGCCAGGCAGCCCTTCGCGGTTGCCCTTCATTCCCGCCCCCGCGCCCTCCCCCCACCACCACACGCAGTGAATGCGGAGCTGTGGGCACCACTGCCCTAAGCACGGGGAAATAATGTGGCCTAAGGAAAGGGCTCAATCTAGAATGGCTTATATGGGAAAGGCCAAGAACACAGTCCAAATGCTAAGTACAAAGAAGTATGTCTCCAGTTTGAAATAATGTCTTTGGTTCTTCCTTTCTCTCATGGATTTCTGGAGTGACTGGATAAAGACTTCCAATGTTAATTCCTCGCCTTCACAGAGAAGCATGGTGACACCCCCAAATCCCAAGTCCCCATATCAGATATAGTGAGGAGAAAGAATTAGTCTAATCACCTTCTTCTACCTATGCTTCTTTTCCTAGTTTAGCACTCCAACTTTTTGTTCTCTTCAAATGTTTTGACGACATGAAAAAAGAATACATCTCCAGTTTTTACCCAGAAGGTCTATGCTCTATTTTCTAATGGACAGGTAAACTGTTCATAAAATTGCAGTGCAGGTTGGCTTCCTCAAAAATCAAATTCTGAGATGGTGTACAGTGGGAGGAGGTTTACGAGGAAGCATGCTGGGAGCTGACATATGGAAGGAGAGGGGGTAGGGGGGAACACTGAAACCAACCTAGGGCAGTCTCAAGGAAAGCGTCCATCATCCCTCCGGTGAGCAGTGAGCAGGATGATCTTTCAGGGTGTCCTGAGGTAGTGGTAGGAGGACAGGTCATTACACCCCCACATGGGTCAGTTGTGACTTGCCAGGCTATCTCAGCAGCCTGAGACAGGTGGCCCTCTTCAGTAGAGGCAATCCCTAGCAGTAGTGCTGAGGACTTCCTGCTGGTAGCACTCCCCCAGCTGGAGGGGAATATCCTTTCCTGGTATCACAGCTGCTACACCATTTCTTCCCAGAATCCCTAAGTCCAGACTTCCTTGCCCCATTCACATGCTTATAAGAATACCACCTTGAGGCCCTCCCTGGTGGAGCAGCAGGTTAAAGCACAGCACTGAGAAGCTAAAGCCACTTCCTCATGAGTTCGATTCCTGCCTGCCCCGGAGGTGACCCACATGGCGAGGCAGACCTCTCCTGACCCGCCCGCTGCTCCCCTCAGCAGTGTACTTGTCGATTTGCCTGTTCTGCTCCCCACTCTGTCTCTGGTGAAGCCTCTCGCCACCCTGCACCTCTGGCCTGTACCCCAGTTCTGTATGCACAAAAAAATAAATCTTAAAAAAAAAAAATACCACCTTGAACAGTCACGAATGAGATGGAGAGACTCATCTGAAATAAGCCTAAGTCTGAGGGCTACCATATGCTCTTCACAGGAGCTATTCAGAACCCGGAAAATACCATCAGTTAAACCACAGAAGTACTGGTCTCCATACCTATCCCTGATGTGATTATTTTTTGTTTTATTTTTAATTGTTGTTTTTCCAATGGACTACCATTATTTTACATCTTTGTTAATATTTTTACAATACAGGATTCCTCCCCTTAGGTGTGGTTCCCTGACGTAATGTTAAGCCACAAATTAATCATTCCTAAAATGTATGTGTCCTTTATACCCATTTTAGGAGCTACCAATGGCAGCGCTTTTTTTTTTTAATGCTAATTCTCATGCCACATGTCTACTTTTTCAGAGTTTTCTCTAGGAATGAGGTTAATGGGATGAAACTAACCAGAGAAGGGAAAAGGGTCACTCATGGAGGTTTCTGAAAGTAAGAAGGCTATGTGTTGATAATTCAGAAATTACAATCAATTTTCCGGTGGAAAACATTAGAGATGGAATCATGAAGTCACCTGGAAACCAATTTAGGTCACACTTTTCGTACATGAAAAAAAAAATGATTACGGCTTGAGATCATAAATAACCTCAATATACTATAGTTACTGAAGAAGACTGAGTTGCTTTAGTTCATTTATTGAACATTTTATATTGGGACCAGTGCCTTTATAGAATGCAACTTCATACAGGAATAGCAAACAGAATTGGGGTATAAATTTTTCCTTCTAATCTCAGAGCAGCTGATAATTTCAATACCTTCCTCAAATACAGCTCCTCTGCCAATTCTGGCTTAGTGAAAGGGAAAAACTAAAGTATCCCCGTCATCTCCACCAAGTGTTCTCAGTGGGGGTGTGGAACCTGCTCCTATTGCTGGCACAGCTCTGTTCACTGGAACATGCAGAAGTGTGCAATGGAGGAGAAACGGTTTAACTGAAATCATCCCTAGATTAGCTCTGAGGCCTAAGTTCTAACCCATGGTAGTGATTTCTGGACCAATTCCCATGTCACAATTTCAATGCATTCTAGGATAACAGCGAAGTCGACAAGCTCAGACACTGTAGATAAAACGTAAGTTCAGGTTACAGAATAAGGCCAGAAATCTCCAACGTTAAAAAATTTAATTAAGTGGAAAAATTTAGTTATAGCCAATGCCCAAGAAACAAATCAAAAGAAAGCAAAATAAATCAGAAATGTCTTAAAAAATGAAACCTCAGATATGTCCAGGGTCGGCTGAGTGGCTTGATATTTTATACTAACGTCAAATCAGAGCTTATTTCTGAATTATGACCCAGAGGCACTCCCAGATCTGCAACAATTAAGGTCCCTTCTCTTTCTAAAATGGTATGACTCTTCCAGAATTCCTCTAAAGAAGCAGAAAATGTGATTAATACATTCTGAATGATTCTTAAGCACAAAGGTTAAAAAAATAGCAGCTTTCTAATTGATCTTTGGATAACCAAACATTTAATAAACTAACCTTGCAGAGCTTCTGAATTCAAAGTACATTGCTAGTGGAGGAGCTTATTGGAAATCTAACCACCTGATAAGTAAAATGATATAGTTTATTAGACAGCCCAGTACAGTGGAAGGTTCACTGAACTCAGAATTAGATGAGTGAATCAGAAACGTAGAGCTGCCTCTTGTAAATGTATAACCTTGGACAAGCCACTTAACCTCGGAGACTCAATTACTTAGGTAATTTCCAAAGTCACTAAATCACCAACATTCAGGAATGCTCTGAAATTGTGACCACCTTTTATTAAATTACATTTAATTTAGAATTAATGTAATTTTTGAATTGAAAGAGTGGTCCTGAACTTAACTGCACATGTTTTCATCCTGAGGAATTTGTCATGAATTGTCTATGAATACAACAGTTCTTTGGCCTCCATCCCGAAGACTTGGATACAAGGATCATGAACAGGTCTAGTGTGTACACTTTCCAAGAAGGTAAGTCCAATGTAGTTTCCACCACCTCCTTTGGGGATAAGAATAAACACTGACATCTTTAGAAGGACCTAGAAAACCTACCTGAAATGGCCCGTGAGACCTTTCTGAGCCCTCTATTCTCTCACTGCTCCAGTGAACCGGCCTCCTTGCTGTTCCTGCAGGAGACCTGATACTACCACCAGGAGCTCATCTCTCTGCCCTTCTACTACTCCACCAAAATTTGCATGGCTGACCTCCTTATTCCCTTTAGTGTTTGCTCATATGTGATCTACACTATAAACCTTGTTCAAAATCTTCATCCATATCCCCTCCATTGTCCCCACACTACGCCTGACCCCCTCAATCTACTCTTTTTAGAGCACGTATCCCCTTCCAACTTACTGTATAACTAGCTCATTTATTATAGTTTCTCAGCTGTCTTTACCAACTAGAATATAACCTCTACAAGAGCAGGATTTTTGG